CCCCCCCCCCCCACCATGCCCCTTTTGCGGGGTGGGGGTCAGTGCGGAGGGGATTAAGAGGTGGGGAATAGAGAGGTTTAGGGGTTTAGGGGTTTAGGGTTTGGGGGTTTAGGGTTTTAGGGTTTAGGGGTTTAGGGTTTAGGAACCTGATTACGAGACTTTGGCCCTAGAACCCCCAAAAATATTCGGATTCAATACAAAGAACCGGCAAGAAACCAGGGTTTCTTAATCAGGTTCCGGTATCAGCTTCGAGTATTGGGTTGGGGTTCCTGGTCTCTCGCAAATCGGACTGCTGCCCCCGACGGATTGCGAGCAAAATCAAAGCCCCAAAGCACCCAACATGCCAGAATTGCTAGAACTATCTAGAACCTCGGCCTACAATACCCTGAAGCCCTGCAAAACACCAGAAGTAGATATATACAGAAACCCTTACAGACCCTAAAGACATCCTAAAAAGCCGGTGGGAAATCCTAAAAGATTCTACATGACCCCGCTGAGCCCCCCGCTCCACCCCCCCATATATATATATATATAAAAAAGTGATAGATATAGATAGATAGATAGATATAGATATAAAACGGCTGGTTCTCGGGCTGGGGCTCAGGGTGTATCACGAGCTGGTTCTGAGGATTGTATCATTACCATCTTGTCCCGCTCTTTCATTCCACTTTCTCACCATCTCTTCCGTTGTCATCATAATTCACGCCTTCTTCGTTTTATCATTCCTTGTCATCTCATCCGTTCTATCATTTACCTCATCATCATCTTTGCCCCTTCATCCGTTTTCTCACCCTACTTTTATTTAAGTAGTTGTCTATTCACTTTTTTCATTATTCAGTATATCCCCTCTCTCGTTTTCCTTTATCACCAAATCACCTCTCACGGTTTCTAAGGCGTGTCCTCTTTTTTCGTTTTCTTCAGACTTTATAATATTATTCAGGGTTTAGGCTGCGGCAGTGGATCCTCTCGCCTTCTTCGGCGACGTGCAATTGTTTATGGTGCGCCCTGCTTGCTTATTATTCTTGAGCGGAAAAGCAAAGAAGCATCAGTTTCATTCATTTGCTGTGCGTCGAAGCATAGCTTATTTTCCGAAGCATTCTTGCTTTGAAAGCATTCTTGCAATCCCAAGCGTTGTCAAGCTTTGACGCTATGTCGCCAAAGAAATTAACCCAAGATGAAAAGCCAGTGCTACCAGACGATGATAAGCACTTTGAGAAGCCCGATGAAAAAGCTAGTGGTTCGGACAAGGTCATTGACATCAGCGACCAATCCCTTTACGAACCGAAGCCAAACAAGGAAGACGAGCAGGTGTTGCGTAAAATCAACCTTACCGGCATTGACAAGTTCCTTACGCCAGAGATGAAGAAGCAGATTGACGACGATGATGACAAAAAGGCATTGCTCACGACGCTTGAGAATGACGCAAAGGTCATTCTTGCCAAAATCGGCTACATCAACAACAAGCTTACCAAGTTAGGCAACAACTCGAAGCTCAACGGTAAGAAGGTCAAGGAAGCAGGCATCATCTTTTGCAACAACATCAACATCGCCTTGGTGTGAGTGCTTTTTCGTGCGAGCATCCAGAAGGCTGTCGGCGCTCATTTAAGGCCCTAAATAAAACCGTAAAGTCCTAAAACTTATGGTTGTGTTTGTGAGGGCTGTGCCATTGTGAGCCTTTTGAAAACCTTGCGAAGCCATAAACCGCACTGACAAACGCCAGAAGTGAAAAAATCCAAGTGCTGATAGTGCAGTTTTCTCGCTGAAGCAGGACTTGATACTTTCAATTGTCAATTCTTGAGCTACTTGATTGCTTTATTAAGCCGTTTGTGCTTTTCTTTCGGTAGTCTCTCTTCTATATTGCCCAAGTCCTTTTACTTTGAAGCAATGGGTAAAAACGTCATCTCCAAGTTCAACAAGAATGACCGCGTGAAGGACTTGATAACCAAGAAACGAGCTTCCGAAAGAGTTTTGGATGATGTGGTGCTGTTGACCGACAACATCCCCGCCACTTCAAAACTTCTTGTCTCCAATTCGCGCCAAGCTCAACGAGTTAACGGTGAAGGTTGAACGCCAAGAAGCTCTACTACAAGATGGTTTCGACTTCTTGGACGAGGCCCAGCTAAAGCAAATCGCAGATGCTCTTGACCCAAAAATAAAGTTCCAATGCACTGAAGAACGCTTGGCATCAATTGCAGGAATTTTGTTTAAAGAAGTGGGCGAGATGGAGGTTGCTTTGAGCCATATTCAAGACACGAAGAACCAGCTTATCTTGCTCTTCATCCAGACCTTTGCTCAGGGGTTCAGCAATGAGAGCTCCAACCCCGCGAACTTTGACCTTGAACCGATGAGGAAGCAGGTAGATTACTTGGGAAAGCTTCGCATTGAGTTGAGGCGTCGTTCATCCGATAATTCGGCTAATGAAGCTCCTGCTGAAAACCGGACAGGTTGCTGTATAATGTAAGTATTTAAATACCAGCAGTCATCAATCTCAAAATCCGAGACCGCCAGTAGCAAAATCCGAGACCGCCAATCTCAAAATCCGAGACCGCCAGTCTCAAACTTTGAGATTGGAGACCTGCCTGTCTCAAAATCGGAGACCGCCAGTCTCAGAATCCGAGATTGGCTCTAATGGGGTAGTGTTGCTCTGACAACACCAATGGGGAAATCGTGCGAAGAAATGAACCCCCAAACTCGTCCTATGAACTTTTAATCCTTAAACCTTGAAACCCTAAAATCTAAACGTGAAACCATCGCCATTGTTGTCTGAAAGGTGTTTAAAAAAGTAGTTCCAAAGATGGCAAAGCATCCGCGTATTCTTGAACTTGACGATGAAGTCCGAGTTATCAAAGAACGTCTTGCGAAGACTGAGAAGGAGGCTCTCATCTTGAAGACGATACGTGCCCGAGGCGTTCGTTGCAAAATCCCCATCAAGAAGCACTTCAATGATCTGAACACTACACTTGTCCCACTGAACAGGTCTATCTGCGAAAATTTGATCTTTGATGGAGATGAAAGGTTCACGACCGAGCAGTGGGAAAAGGTCAAGAGTTGGCTTGATGGCTGGTTCAAAGATGAAGTCGGTTGTCGCTTAGAACGCGTTGCTTTGAACTTTGTTGACGAAGTCACGTATCCAATTCAACAAGCCCTCGGAATGGAGGGCGACGATGAAGACGACGATTAGAAGAGCGCCACCTTTGGGCTTGGGAAAAATGAATGCCAGCGCAGTTCTTCACGACATTGAGCCTTTAATATTTAATACCCTAAACCATAGAAAGAGATGGTGAGAAAATGGAAGGAAACAGTGGGACAAGATGGTTGGATACAATCCTCAGAACCAGCCCGTGATACACCCTGAGCCCCAGCCCGAGAACCAGCCTTTTTATAATTTTTCCCCCACCCCACCCCACCCACCCACCCTTAACCTTAAACCCTAAACCCTAAACCCTAAACCCCACCCACTCCTTAACCCTAAACCCCCAAACGCCAAAAAATCCCGCAGCGGGTGGGAAGGCTCCGCACGGAGATCCTTTCGACGAAGGAGGAGCTCCTCTCGCGCATCGAAGGCACCTTCGGGTTTAAAGGGTTTCAGGGGTTACTTGAAGGGTTATAATCCCCTGATATCGGATCTATCTATAGTTGCCCGACTTAATCTATGATAATTAACTGTATAATTAACTGTGTTTACCTGTCGGATCGAAGGTCGTCCGGGCGCCGTGCCTGATAGCAACAGACATGTTAGCTTAGGGGCCCTTGGCAAAAAAAGGTTAACCTTTCGAATTATAGTAGGATTACATAAGCCCCAAAAGGTTAAAGGTCACGTACTCCGCCTCTAAGTTAGGGTTTTGGATTCCCTTTTTTCTGGGCATCGTGGTCACGGGAATACAGCCTGAGAATGTCAGGGGTGTAGGCTTCAAAGCCCTATATTTTGCCTTAAAAAGGCATGAGGATAATAATGTTCTAATTGGCTGGCTAATTAAAAGCACAAACCAACCACCAAACCAACAACCCCATTCAAACTCTATAACACCGCTGGTAGGGTTTAGGGTCATAGTAACAATTACCCCGAAAACGGTTAAAGGTTACCCGCTCTACTGCGAAGCTAAGGTGCCTTCCAAGCCTAAACCCTTAACCTTGCCAAAACTCAAGGACCCAAACCATACACAATTCCTAAGCCTGAGCTCTCCCCGTGGGTCCTTTCGCCCCTTTTTTTGTTATAATCTCAGGCTCCATGTAAAAAGGTACCCAATACCAAAAAGGGAGCCTTGTTTATTCCTAGTAAGTTACAGGAAATCCTAGTACCTTGCTTACGATCCCCCGAAACCCTAAACCCTAAAACCTAAACCCATAAACCCCAAACGCCTAAACCCTTAAACTAAACCCCTAAACCCCTAATCCCCTAAACCCTAAACCCCTAAACGCCTACACCCCTAACCCCCTAAACCCTAAACCCTATTTCTAAACCCTAAAGAACCCAGCCGGAAAGCCCTGAGCCCCCACCCTAAAGCGCCCAAAGGCCGCAAAGCCCCGAAGCCGTAAACCCAAGCTCTCCTCAAACCCTCACCAACAGCTAGGGTTTATGGATTTTAGGGTTTGAGGCTTGAGGGTTTTAGGGTTTAGAGTTTAGGGTCCTCAAACTCTAACCAACGGCTTAGGGTTTATGGGTTAGGGCTCCCTTTACCCGAAAACAAAACCACTTAAACCCAGAACCACATACCTAAAGCACGAAAGAATCTAAAACCCCGAACCCCAAACCCTAAATTATTTATTCAGCCTAAACCCCAAACCCCACGCTAAACCCCATTCCGACAAGCCTAAGCCTAACGACTATGTTTTTTAGGACATTTTCAGGTGGGTAGTTACCGTTTTGAGAGCCTGATAGAAGGTCTGTATACCTTATAGAAGCCTTTAAGAAGCCTCCCCACATGTAGTTTCCTTTAATGCTTGCCTGCTTGGGAGAACGAGGGGCTTCCCCCATGTGAGGCGAGCTTGGAGCTTTGCATCCGCGGCTGGTGCGCCCGTTTGGTCTATAAGGGTTCATGGCTTCAGGTTTTAGGGTAAACCCTTAGGGCTGAAGGTGCAGGGTTTTAGGGTTTTAGGGTTCCCGTCTAGGGTTTAGGGTTTAGGGTAAACCCTTAAACCTGAGGGTTTAGGGCTGAGGGGTTTGGGGTTTGGGGCTTTAGGTTTTTAGGGTTCAGGGTTTAGGAACCCTTGGGGCTGAGGGTTTAGGTTTTTGGGTTTTTAGGGTTTTTAGGATTTTTAGGGTTTTTTAGGGTTTTTAGGGTCTAGGGTGTATCCTATTAGGGTTGACGCTGTTTCCTTGACCTCTACTAGTCTAGTCTAGGACATTTTCAGGTGGGTAGTTACAGTTATAGGAGCCTTATAGAAGGTCTACATACCTTATAGAATCCTTATAGAAGCTCTATATACCCTAAACTCCCCACCTGTAGTTTCCTTTAATCTAGCCGGTTTTTGCAAGCTAGTATCTTTTTGTAGGGTTTTGCAATGGACTTAGCGCTGGGTCCTTGTTGGCTACAATCTTACATTTTTGTTTGAAGAAAACCCAATAAGGGCTCAGGGGTTAGGGTTTAGGGGTTTAGGGCTTAGGGGGTTAGCTCAGGGTTGGGGTTTAGTAGGGGTTCAGGGCTTAGGGGTTAGGGTTCAGGGCTAAGGATTAACAATGATCATGTTTAAAGGTAGCTACCAACAGGGAACCAGACATGATTGCATACGAGTCGCGCAAGGGCAAGGGCCTTGATCTACGAGGGCCGAAGGAAGTTCTCGCGGGGGTTTCCGTTGTCGTGTGGCTTGCCTGGTCCTTCCCTTGCAGAGGCGAGCTCTCATACGGTTGATGATATAAATCCTGCATGACCCCATAATAAGGAAAATACCCATAATTCCCATAGTTTAGGGTCCTTAAGGTCATGCAGGATTTATGTCATCAGCAGTAGCACCCTATACCCTAAACCTATAGGAGCCTGATTCAGAAGCCCTGGGATCTTTACTGGGGTTCTCGATAGAAATCCCGAATATCTTAGTAGCTGAGTGAGTACAATTGTTACACTTCGTAGGAGAATATGACTCCCTATGAAACTGAGAGTGCACACGTTTTCGGGCCTATGAACTCAGCAACTAAGAGGAGGCTGCTCAAGAAGCCCTGAATCTTTATTCGGGCTCTGTATACGAAGCCTACTACTCTGGAGTTATAGTGCCACGGTTTCTTAATCAGGTTCCTACAACACTTAAAGCCTCTGCTTGCAACTGCCCATCTGTCCCCATGAACCTCTATATAAGCGCACCCAACACCCAACTTTTTAGCCGTAAACCCCTAAACCCTAAACCCCTAACCCCTAACCCCTAAACCTTACTGAGCTGGATGGTCATCGTGCGGGGTGGCTTGTGAGAGAGAGCAGTTTAGGGGTGTTTTCAACCGTCTGCCCAACCGGGCTTTTGAGCGCAAGCGACGAAAACGGCCATTAACAAAACAAACCTTACTGACAACCTTAACCTGAAACCCTGGAGCAGCAGGGGATGGAAAAAGTGAGGTTTGGGGAACCAACGACCGCGATTGCATCCGATTGACTTAGGGTTTAGGGTTTGGGTTTAGTACAGCAAATGACCAACACGATGATCGAGTAGGCGGACACAAATTTGTCCATCAACCAATTGCGTGCTTTCTGTGAGGCCGCACACGGCTGAGGTTCGAGAGAGGTGTGCACGGAAGTAAATGAGGGCGGGCTTTGACAGGCAAAGCTTTGCAGTGCACTTGCTGACTTGAGGTCGCGCGCGATCTCCGAAAGCTTGAAGCGCCAGATCCCACACCTAAACCCTAAACCCTAAACCCTAAAACCCTAAACCCTAAAACCACAGCTCTTTCACAGAGCCGGGGCGGCGACTGCATTGAACCTGAAGCTTGCATGGATGCCGAATATGACCGCTGCAGCCGGCTTGATCGTTCTGAATGACAATATCACAAGCCCCGGTGATGTGAAGGTTGAAACCAAGGTTGAACCCGACGACAAGAGCAAGCCAGCAAGCATCGACGTGAAGGTTGAAACCGACGACAAGCCGTCGACAGTGGATCGGAATGTTGAGCCGCCGAAGGAGGCACACCCATATAATTGTCAATCGAAAATACAGTACATAAAAACCTAATTAGAACATCAAGCTAAAATTAATTAAGCACTAGCTAAGTATACCTATATACTACAATCAATAAATCAGCAGCCCATATATATATATATATAACTAGCACACACTAGTACCCTTAAAACGCTGAGGATGATGCAACCTGGTTAACGCCGAGGAGGGCTGAGTCGGTTTGAGGGTTGAGGGTTGCGGTTGAGGGCTCAGTAGAGTTTTGTTCAGGGCCCCACACGGGTAAATCTCCAGTTTTTGAGCCTGAAACCTAGAAGCCCCAAGCCTTACGCCTGTCGGGCTCGGACGAGATGTTCAAATGCTCAA